ACATCAAAGTACCTTTATTTTGAACAGTTATGCTAATTGAATCTTTTGATGGCTCAAACAACAAGTGTTGTATGACGCATAAAAGTATCGAACAATCATAACAATAAAGATTGGAGACTCTTCACATAGTGGTGTTCTATGATGTTTCTTGGAATAGTTTACATGAAGTAACGGGTGTGATTGTATTTTCCAGGCATCAGTGGCTAAGTCCGAAGCACTGACAGAAGCTCATCGTAAAGAAGAGTTTAACACCGAGGTTTCCAATGTTGATACTTACATCAAAGAAATCGAGACGACCATTGTAGAGACAGAGAAGGAAACTAACCTGACATCGGTGAAGGCGCAGTTCACTAGACATAAGGTGATTTTTGTAAATGCACGAGCTTATTTGCACTTAAATGAAAACAGTTTAAGTTCTCTGCGTAAAAAGAACATTTGGCTGTATTAAGCATTCAAAACAATGGTGGGAAACATTGCAACTTTTATTTTTATTGTTTTCTAGCCTGATCATGATTAGCTACTCATTTCAACAGTAAAGAGAAATAAAAAGGCTAATTGAACCTAGCATTGGTGGACTGTTGTTATTTCTGGCTGGGAAAATTACTTTGCCTTTAAAATGTTCATTTTAGATGATGCAAAAAGGGCTGTAACAATCTACAATCTACAATCTACAATGTTTGTCTCCAAAAAGGCTTAGCCCATGACGGAGATACACGATACTCTCACTACAACAAACCTACTTTACCTAACTACATATAACTAAAAAGGATATTGGTTAACGGATAAGTAGTTTTGGCGCAGGGGCACTTGGTCAACATGTTTAACTTTGGTCGCATGGCAATGCATACTACAGGTAGTGATAAGACAGCTATGACCTATTAATATCACAGTAGCCTTGGATAGGTTGCAATTTTATATATCAAGGAGAGGAATGCCTGAAACTAAGCTTGGACATGGCTCATAACAGCCAGAAAAGGCTCATTTTGTAGTATTTATTTGAATATTGCTTCATAGAGTAGTATTTTGACGATGATGTTGTTTTTTAGATACTTGAGAAGGAAATTCGAGAGAAGAGACAACGGATGTTGGAGCTTAGCCAGGCACCTGGCGATGAAGTAGACGGCGATAAGCTTGCAGAGGAAAGGCGAATTGTGGAAGAGAGGTGAGACTTGATTAAACTTAATTGCTTGTTGCTCAAAATTAGTCACAAAACAACCTTTAGAAACCTCTCTAATAAAATTTGATAGATTCACCTTCAAGCTGATTTTAAAATCCTTCTGTCAACGCTCCTTTTTCAATATAATACTTGGGTGGAAGGAGTTTTGAAATCTGAATCGTTTCGCAGCACTTCCCTATTAGCTTCAAAGTATCATAAATAAGTTCTGATAGCTGAGGGTTCCATTCGAAGTTTACTGGAAACTCGCTGTAACGTCAATGAACGAGCGCAACATCATATGCACTTTTATTTCCCTAAAACTCAAATGAATGCTGCATACTCCACAGGTTCGAAGCACTAGAAGCACCTCTCGCAGAAAGAAGAATTGAATTAGAAGAGGCTTTCAATTTCTATCAGTTCCAGAGAGATATTCAGGATGAACATGTAAGTAGTCAAGAGATTCACCATAATTGTATGTTTCTACCTTTTCCGCGTTGCCTAGATCGTGCTTGATTTTTGTGGATTTTATTTTGAAACTTTCCTTCAAAAAACTGCATATTTTTTGTAGCTCTGGATTGACGAAAAGGAGCCAGTTTTGCAAGCACAGAACTTCGGATCCACGCTGCATGAAGTATTAGGCTTGAAGAAACGCCATCAGGTATTTAGCCTTATAAAAACATTATTAAAGTTACGCAGAAGTTACATAAAATGTGGCAGACATAAGGGAAATTGTCTCCAAGGCAATCACATTATTTTCACTGCTCGGAGATTTAGGGACCAGTCAAAAGACACATTCTAGTGAATTTAATACAAGCCAGTGTCCCAGAATCGTCAAAATAGGCCGTTCTATAGACACTAATACAGTAAACAACATTATAGTACTATGAAGTAGGATTAGTGTCACAAGTGTTGCAATACAGGAGAAGAGAACCTGAAGTGTAGAAGTATGTTGAATACTTGATCTGAAAGTTTACTGTGGCTTCTACCGCATGAAAGGGAAACACAAGTCTACTCCTAGGCCATCTTTTTGCAAACTTCATAGTGGTTTTTTAGTCCGCCTATATTTAGCTTGATGACGAAATTTTCTAAAACTGTTAATCGTTTCGATGTCCTCTTTTTCAGAATCTTTGTATGGAAATCGAGGGTCATGAGCCAATCATCACAGCACTTTGTGTCAATGGGGAGGAGATGGCTAACGGCGAGCATCCGCGTGGAGAGGAGATCCAAGAGTTGAAGGATGGTCTGGTGGAACATCTGGACAAGCTCAAAGATTTGTCCCAGAACTACCAAACAAAGCTCGATGAATCTCTGCTTGCTAGACAGGTATGCAATCAAGCCTTCATTGAAAGGGTTGTTGTTGTTTGAAGATCTTAAGCTTTGGTGCACCTTTTGAATAATGTCCTGAGTTTGGAAAAGTTTCTGCATTTTTTGAGGAAAAGAAAAATAGTATGAATTGAGCTATTTTGATATGGATGTTACGAGCTATCATTTCAATAAGCTTCAATATTCTGTAGTAGACTAGTTTAACTCCTAAGTCATTGATCAACCAATAGTGTTATGATGTGTGACCGCCCGCCTCCTCGAATAGTGTTATGATGTGTGAAAACTGATCACCACTCAAAATTACTACGTAGAAGGCTACCCATTTTCATCCTATAGCACTGCATTGATTTTTTCTATCATATCGTTAGTGGGAAAATTAGTCCAATTTCTGTTCGATAAGTCCTTCATTTTCAAGATAAAGAGATTAAGTAAATTAAGACATATAAAAATATATCTATTGAGAAGTGTTTAGAAGCAGGGGGACACTGTTCAAGTCAGTAAGAGGCAGCAAAGATCAGTTTCAACATTTGTTGATGTTTCGCTGTGGTTTAAAGACAAATATTTTATTTATGTTAAGGAAAGCAGGTCGTTGATAAGATCTTTCCATTGCAGTATTTCCATGACGCAGCCGAGGCGGAGTCATGGATGAGTGAGCAGGAGCTTTACATGATTGGAGATGACCGGGGCAAAGATGAGAATGCAGCGCAGAGTTTGTTAAACAAGCACATCAACCTGGAAAAGGCGGTCGAGGACTTCCAAGAAGATATTGATGATTTGAGGCGAAGATCAGAGGAGCTTGTTGCTGCAGAACACCCTGAGAGGTATGACAAGTTCTCTTTATTGTTGTCGCTCATCAAGTTGTCTTTGTTGTTGTTGTTTTGTTCCTTGTGTAGCCTTGGTATGTAACCAATGTTTTAAAATGGCTACTTTTTTCATCAAATTTGTTTCTGTTGATAAGATTGCTCGAGATGGTACCAATATTTTAAGCGTGACATCCGAAACTTGGAGTCCGCTTAAAAGTATTTGGCTGCAGATCATATATAGCTTTTATAAATCCTTTCTAACTGTATTAGAATACTGGTTATTTTGTCAAATACCCAAAATTTCCCATTACTTTGTATATTTAAGGGTTTATCCCATCACATAATAAATGCCTTGCTGTTACTGTCAACCATTATCATCTTCCATTTGTTTGGTAGCTCGTTGATAGAGAGCACCCAGAGAGACCTCGAGAAAGAGTATGCAGAGCTGAAGGAACTTGCAGAGGATAGACATTCGAAACTTGACGAAAACTTGAAGTTGTACCAATTCAACCGTGAGGTAAATTTCCTGCTGCCCAGATATGCTAAAGTTTATTTGTAATCGCTATTGTTGAAATACTCTTTTAAACTAAATTTGTATATATTAAAATGTGGTCTGCAAAATCTTTACTCTTATGTAGAAGCTAAAATCTTAAAAAAAAATAATGTTTGTGCGTCGAACTTAAACCTTTAGGGCTTTTCGCTGATCTAGAACTGAACATATTTACATTTTATGGAAAAGCCTTTACGTCAAACTTGTTTATTGATTAGTGTTTCAGTCCTTGGCAGAATATTTTGTTTGTAAAGAAATATGATTCTGTTGCTTCTAAGATGCTACTTTTTAAGTAAATCTTGTTACGCTGCGTAAATTATTTTGTTCTAGGTGGAAGATTTAGAGACATGGATAAACGAAAAGGAGGTCGTAGCTGGCGTGCAAGATATTGGTCAAGACTTTGATCACGTGCAGGTAAAGAGCCTTATTCGACTCGAGGAGTACTAAATAAAAAATCGTAGCAGCATACCACTTTATGAGCCAATTTCATATGTCTACTTTCGCAAATGGTTTGTTACTTATCATATAGATTCGATTCTTGCTTCATTATATGTTTTAGAGCACTCTGACCTTAAAATGATTTCTTTACCTTTTGTTCAAGAAACGAAGCTGGCAGCCAATTATGAAAAACAAAATTTTGTGTTTGTTGAGGCTGAGGGAATCGATGTGGGTACGAGGGAATACTGCTTCGTTCCTAGAGTCTTGCTTTGGCATCATACATAGTTACTGATGTATTGACTACCTACAGTTCTGATTTGATTAGAGTGAGAAATAGTCTTTCCCTTGATGTTCCCCACACTTCCAAAGCAAAACCAACGCGTCTAAAGTTAGTTTGTGGTGTCAGATGGACGTCGACTTTTTTCATGTCTCCTTGTAGATGCTGGAACAAAGATTCGACAGGTTTTCACAAGAGACGCAGAGAATCGGCATCGAACGAGTTGAAAGTGTCAATGCCATCGCAGACCAGTTGATTGGCAGTGGGCATTCGGATGCTGCAACTATTTCCGAATGGAAGGTCGGTCTTAATGACTCGTGGACAAACCTCCTCGAGTTGATAGAAACAAGGAAGCAGGTTTGTTTTCCGTTTTCATGGTTGCTCATTCAATAATACACTTATTTAATACACAGGTTAATGACCGCATACTCATAGCCAAAAATAAGGCACCAAAGTAGGCTGAATACATTTCATCAATATTTCAGATGACTGTGAAGACATTAGTCAGTAATGTTGATAACATGATTTGACTTACACCTAAACGGTACAAGATTCAGTCCATTTTTTGAATTGGACTGACTATCAAATAGACTGATTCTCTCCCTATGTAGACTATTAAATATTTATTTTAAGTTTTTTTGTTCAGTAAAGTGCTTTCCTTCGTTCTTAATTTTTGGTGAATGCGTCTTTGTTGTCGAAGAGCTCAGCAGTACCCAAGAAATCCTATAGTCATTATTTTATTAGCACGCTTTGTAGTTCTGTTTGAAAACCAAACTTCCTCTCTAGCTTGTTTGATTATCTTAACTGTTATGTTCATGTTTCTTACTCCTTTAGTTGTTAGCTGGTGCGCACGAATACCACAGATTCTTTCAAGAAGCCAGGCAGACACTGTCTATGATCCAGGTAGGCATATTTTCAATGAATATTCAATGTGTTCTTCATCTTCTACGTCATCGTCATCTTTGTTATCATCATTGTCATCATCATTGTCATCATCATTGTCATCACCATTGTCATCATGTCAACACATCAGCCTAGTAACAAATTGTGTTTGATTTCTTACAGGAGAAAGAGTCTCAACTTGGAGAGGATCTTGGTCGTGACCAACAAAGTGTTTATGCTTTGCAGCGATATCACCGCGCTTTTGAAGCCGATTTGCAGCCACTAGGAAATCAGGTAGGTAGCCATAAAAGTTTCTTGGACCCATTGTACACACGCGTCAAGTGTAATTTTTAATGGGTTGGTCATCTTCGTTAGAACTGAAGGATTTAAAAAATTGCATCAGCACATTTAGTACAGTGTCTGCAATTAGGTTTTATCTTCAAAATAAAAAAGGCCTTTCATCAATATGGAACTATTGATTGTTAATTCAAACTCCGATGAGGGTCATTCTGCTTCTGTTATTGTACGTTTCTCTGAAAACCTTCACGCATTTTTATTGTTTGCCTATTCCGACACAGTTGCATCTTCTGGTTTCAGGTTGCAGAAATCCAGAACTTTGCTTCTGAACTAAAACCACATTATGCTGGCGATCGAGAACAGGAGATTGAAAACAAAGAAAGCCAGGTTCTAGATGCATGGTCGAATCTACTTGCACGTGTTAGTGAAAGAGGATCAAAGCTGGGAGATTCAGATGAGTTACAGCGATTCCTTTTGCAAATACAAGACTTGCTCATTTGGATCCGTGACATGAGACAGGAGATTGCTTCAGATGAGAGGCCAAAGTGAGTGTTGTCCTTTTGCACAATGCTTTTCTGTCAGTGGGGGTTTTGATTTGAAGAATATGGAATTGTCATTAAGCTCCCCTTCGCACTCTTGATCACCATGACCGAAGCTATCATTGATCACAATCATCATCCTAATCGTCATTCTAATCATCCTCCTAATTGTCATCTCACATCATTGATCACCAGTAATCATGCTAATCACCTAATACATTCATAATCATTATCAACCAATCAATTATCATTGCCAGGAATATCAGCGATCTCCCTTCTGTTGATCATGACTACAAAATACCCTTCTTTCCCCCATTAAATTCATCTACGATATAAGCATATAACTTCTGACTATTCAAGGGTCATTCCGGAATGCCAGGCAATCATGAATGAGCATCAAGGCCGGAAAGCAGAAATTGATGCAAGAGAAGAAAAGATTGCCTTTGTTCTTGCTACCGGTGAAAAGATGATTGAAATGCAACATTTTGCATCAAACGAGGTATGCGCTTCATTTCTTCACAGTGACTTTTTCTATAACACTTAAAACAAATACAATACTCAAATTAATGAATTTTTGAGGTTGATAAAAAACATTGCGTTATCGAGCTGCCTCCACACCCAACATTACAAAGATTCCTATACTTAATACACTATAAATATACAATACAGCACAATACAGCACGACACAGCACATTACAGTACAATACAGCACAAAACAGCATAAAGCAGTACAGTACAAAATGCAAACTATGTAACGTCATCATGGAAGTACAGTGACTTTTGATGTTGACTTACAGCATACGGGTTTTCAAAGCTTTCTAAATCTTCTGCCTGTCTTGTAGCAATTTCCTTAGTGGTTTTCCATACCCATGTGGTTTCCTGTTAAGAATTAAACCCTTGTTTTTTTCATTAGACGGGTTTTGTATGAAGTGATTCTACATGTTTTCTTTACTAAACAATAATTGATATACCATCAAGCGTAATCTTCTTTGTGATCACACTGCCATAATGCACGAACATTTAAAGTAACCTTTGCTTTGTCTTTTAGATCCAAAGTAAGATAAACGAATTGCGCGAAAAGAAAAGCCTTATGGAAAGTGACTGGGCTGAACATTGGGATATACTCAATATTAGTAAGAGCCCAACGTTTTAAATTTCGGATTTTTCTAGCTCATTTGAATTAAACCATTTTTCCCGCTTTCCAGTCCTTTATTTGCCAAGTTGATCCTTTAGGAAGTAGCTGCTGGGATGTTGGGTTTCTTTATCTTGTTGTTGTTTTTTTGTTGTGATTCTCCAGTATCTTTTTCATATCAGAAAACAACAAGGGATACGCACATCCAATGGCTGTTCTGTGTGTTCTGACAAAATTGTAGATTCTACCCTCACCGTTATTCTTAAACTTAAGCTCAATTGGCTTGTATTGTGATCCCGGTTGTTCTTAGGGCTATTATTAAGCACGAACTAAATTTAAAGATTAGCTATTATCGGCGTTGATCAGTTATGGAGAATTTTTCGATATTATTGACACATGATACTGATATGTCGCAACTTTTTTACGTAAAAGCACTAAAACAGATTGGCGTGGTGACCTTTAAAAACGAACGACCATTAATCATAACTTTTTTCTTATTCAAAATAATTGCAACCTGGAACAACCCTGTAGTTGTTCTGAAGTAGATTTTTTTATAATTCTACTGAAGTAGAATTTTGACCCAAAAATTTTTTGCCTAAAACAAACGTCTCTTTCATCTTGGGTGACAAAGTACAAACTTATGCTTGGTGTGTATTAATTTTACCCACAAATTTCTTGTGCCTTCTTCGCCGTGTCTTTTTGATCACCTTTCATTAAGTTTGTTTTTTGTTCTAGCTCTGGAAGTCATGCATTTTGTGCGCGATGCTCATTTGGCAGAAGAATGGATATTCAAGGAGGACTTGAACGTAGGTGGAAAAGACCAAGGGGTAAGTTTCATATGTTTGATTACCATACTTTAAAGTAATTTTGAAACGCTGATTGGTCAAAGCAGAAATCATACCATAAGATATTTAGCCCTTTGCACGGATTGAACTTCATTATAACACACTTACCGTAAATCCTCAACGGGGCTTATTCATTTTTGAATGGGCGCTTATTCAAGGGGGGGGGCGCTTATACGAGGGAGGTTTATAAGATTATTGTAGACATTTAGAAGACATTATCAAAATACCCCGTTTATTTTAGTAGGAATTTCTTTATGAGCATTTAATTAATTACTACCAAAAGTATGATTTTTTTGTGGTAATTCATTAAAACGCCATAGGCAACCTCAGATGGCAAAAATCATCAAATAGAGGGGTCAAATTTGAGAATTTACGGTAGCAGTTGGGGTTTATTTGAGAGGGGCTTATTGACAATTTGTAGTTCTAGGGTGGGGGCTTATTCGAGGGGGGGAGGCAATTCGAGGATTTACGGTATGACTGCATAACTACTGAAAGCTGCCGTCAGTCGATGTGATGTATGTTTTTTTCTTTTGCAAGGATTCATTAGAAATTATCGAGAAGCTCTTAGAGAAACAGTCGGCATTTGAGAAGTTACTTGCAACCCAGGAAGAGAGATTCCTTCAGTTGGAGAATCTTACAACAGTAAGTTTGTTGTATGCTTTTTATGTTTGACGTCATCTGTAGCAGTTTTGTTGTTGATTTGTCTTGCGGGAAACTGCATAATAACATCCACTGCACTGCTTACAGTGTAGCATATGAGTACTTTTCAGGTTGATTAGGACAAGTGCTGTGACGCTTTAGTGCCTGTTAGGCGTAATTATGCTTCGTATTTTCTATGAAAATAATGTTTTCTGGAGCCAAAAGTGTGCTGAATTTACTTTCGTTACTCTGTATCCAGACTTATAAATAAATTCCTTCGGTAGTTTGAGCTGCGACAATTGCGTAGACGGCAACTTGAGCAGGCGAAACGCGAAAAGGAGGAGCAGGAAAGACTTGAAAGACAGAGGCAGGAACAGGAGAAAATTGAAGCAGAAAGGGAGCTTCAGAGGATGCTTGAAGAGCAGCAAAGACAGGCAGCCGAGGAAGAGGAAAGGGCAAGGAGCATGGTCAATGGAGAGTTGTCCAATGAGCTTGATGTCAGCGCAGAGGCTGCTAGTGCCGTGGAGGAGCTAATGAAGGAAGCAGACGTGACGGTTCGTTTTTAAATAGTGTTTTCATTGATTTTTCTGATCAGATGTTGTTTTCAGCCCAAAAGTAAAGGCAAAAAACATTTTCAAATTGAATTCAGCAATTCCATGCACCTTCAATGGTAGATTTTACACAAAAGAGCAGAATTTTCTCAAAAGTGCGGGAAAATGAGTAAAACCCTTCAGCGAGTAGAACCCCCCTCCTTAATTCAAAGTCGATTTTTTTTAAAGCAGATATATCAGTGTTGAAATTGGGGGTTGAAAAATCTGGCATTCGTGGTTTGTGTAAACGCTTGTTGTTGTTCCCTTCTAGTTTAATGAATCTGAGGTGAGTGTAACCGATGGAGAACAATGGCGAGCTCCTGTTGAGAAAACAGTCATAGGTAAAACCATTACATTTTTTTCATTATTATTGTTTTTCAAGCTTTAATTGTTGCTAAAGCTTTTATTGCTAAAATGGGATACGAAAATTAAAATACGATCTTGAGTAGAAACATAATTACCAAAAGTATCCAAAAACTATAATTTTTAATTTTGCGATCAAACCTCTTTACTTCCTACTTTGATCAAACTTTACCTTGTCAATCAGATACTGCCCCAGAGAGACAGCTCTTGTCAATAAAAGCATTTTACATTGTCTTTCTATGAGGTTTTTTCCATTGGTTTCTGGTGTTAGTTTTTGTATTAATTCTGCAGCCATTTACTCATTAAACACCCTAGATTAATCAAGATAAGTTTTTTTCACGTCTTGTTTATTATTCTACTTACATTGATTTTCCTCACAATCGCAGGCACGAGTGACATCAAAATGACTGGCTATCTTGCTCGTAAGCACACCATGGAAGGAAGTCACAAGAAAGCGTCCCAAAGGTGTGTTTTAAATACTTGTATCCTCCCCATTTCTTCTTCATGCATCCACACATCTATAGGAGCCATATTAAGAGAGCTCCTAGTTAATGGTATTAACCTTGAATCTCTCAGTTATCTCTTGTAACCGTTTAGCTTCAACGACCAAATGAAGATATCAAATAGAAAGTAAACAGCAATTTTGCGTATTGAGAAAATAAGCCTGAAAATAAGTTTTGTGTCGTATTTAGTTATTCTGTTATCAAAGCATTTTGTTTAGGAAGAGGATTTAATATTTCTTGTTCTCGATCGTTATCTTAGAACGTGGAAGCAGTATTTCGTATCGCTCCGTGACAACGAGCTGAAATTCCATCGTGAAGAGAATGACTTCAAAAATGTAAGTTCCAAATGGCTTCGTATTAAATTTGTTGCTTATAGTCAGGCAAATTTATATCAGCAAATATCGAAACACCGCTCAAGATGTTCTTTTAACATTATCTCATATTAGTTTCAGAAAGACTCCATTGCAAAGGAACTCTATTTCAAGAATGCCTGTTTGTTATAAGGCTTTTCCAGTGCGTGGAATTACAACAATCAGTGTTTGCCATTTGGCTAGTAATACTTTAGAGCAATGCTAGAATTTGATGCCTTTTTTCCACCCACGTTTCGTTTTCATCAGTGACGATTTCCAATCAAAAAGCTTTTAGAAATTAACTTTCCAGTTCTGATCTTCAGAGAAGTTTTGGTTCCAAGACAAATTTAACAATTTTTCTCATCCAAGGGCATTGAACCGGTACAAGTTTTCGATACAATTGACAGTCGATGTGAAGTTGCATCGGATTACCACAAAAAGAAAAATGTTTTCAGGATTAAGTGAGTATTATTTTGAAACTTGCATTGTGAAATATATTTTATATCATGTGCTCTAATGTTTTTGTCATGTTATCGTTCAAATTATAAACTATACTTTCCTACCCTGCCAGTTTTGTCAAATTTATATCTCGTTATATTTGAAGTTACAGCAACAGAGTCTAGAAAAGAGTGATGATGTGACAGCTGATTACGATGATAGAGGGCATTGAAAACAAAAATTTCAGCAGCTACATAACATTTCTTTTTGTCACCGCTTTTTGAGAAGTGGCTTTCCGTGTTTTCGTTTATTGGTTAGTGATGGTTGAACGCTTTTTTGACTCTGAGTAGAAAAAAGTCACGGAAAGATCATCAGAGAAATCTAGTCCATAAGACCCAATCATGGGACTTTATCTCTGCTCTTTCAAAACGAAACTCTTTGATTACAAGAAAGCTAAAATTTGTCTTTTTTTGCTAGATTTGCCAGTGGACAGGAATACCTCTTGCAAGCCAAAGCTGCAGTAAGTAATAACATTCTGTTGTCTTCTGTCATTTGTGCCTTAAAGAGTATAACCATCTATTTCCTTACTTACGTCAAAATACTTTTCACTTCCACCGCTTCCTCCCTCTGTCTTTCCAACTGCCTTTTCGAGAATTTCACAAAGGCTGGTGGAAACGAGAACTTTGCAAAGGCAAAATCCTACGCTCTATTGATCAATGTCTCCCGCATCTTTTAGGACGAGCTGTCACTGTGGATACAGCACATCAGAGGAAGTGCCATTAAAAGCGGCCACCTTCCGGAAGACCTGTCTCCCAAGAAGGACAAAAGAGGCAGCAAATTATTTTCGTTAAAGAAAAAGTAAGCTTACCATAAAGGCAAACAGCTTCACACTTACTTTTGGTTTACGTTGAAAAGAACCATAATTGCAACAGCAGTAACTTTGAAGGACCTTTACAGCAAGAAATCTTATATAAAGAGGACCCCGTGCTGGTGCTCCAAACTCCTCTTCCCCCCCCCCCCTTTATAGACAGAAGCCAACGCTGGTTTTCCTTACAATTATTCAAGACTGTAGAATGTCCCTGCAGTCAGTTCCGTGCACGATCAATCATTACCATGGATCATCATGATTTTAGCCAAAAATCATCAGTCATCATCAATCATCGTTTTCTGTCTCGTCAATATACAACGCTGATACTAGAAGATCTCTGCAATTCATGAACCATTCCTTCAGGGCAATAAGAATGCCTACGCTACTGATGCAGTGTCCTATTGACCAAAATGTAGGATGACTTCGTCTTTGCCTCCCACTACCCCTTGGCAGACATTGATACTTAAGATCTAGATCCCCACAATCACTATTTTAGTTCCTTTTACAAGAAGCCCACTATTGCCAGCACAAGCACAAATCATGCAAGTTTTCGTTTACTTATATAAGTTGTGAGGCAACCTGAAATATCGCCAGTTAATTTGGCTCGTACGCTTTTTAATTACCTGGCTGGGATAAACATGCAAGTTGTATATATAATTTTTTATTTAGAAGTGTTTCCGTATTAGGTTTTATTTGTCCCGTCTTTGCATCAGTCATATATCGGATTTCGCACTATATTCTTATCATTTTAGTTATAATATTAAGAACCTCGGTATTCAGCAAAGTAGAGAAGAAGGACTTTCAGAGTTTAGATACGTATCGACTTAGAGTAAAAGATATTTTAAACTAATTGTTTTCTTGAGCTATATATTTTTTGGTTTTGGTAATCGCTGTAAGATTTCATTTCTTTTTTAGCTTAGCTACGATAATACTTTGTTTGCAGTTTGATTCGTAACTTTTCCAGAAAATTTCCCAGATTTGTCTGTATATGTGATCAAATGCACGTGGGGCATGCTCTCTTTTAAAATGTTAAGAGACTCTACCAGCGATTTCCCCCGCCCCAAACTCTTTTTTATTAATCAAATTGTAATCTAAGTTGTTCCCAGCTTGAGAAACCAATTCACTTGCCTTTTATGAGAATTTCACTCTTAGCAACAACACAAACCATTTTGTTAATTTTATATTGTTTTTGCTACAAATTTCACAAGAATTATTTAAGAACTTATGAACCTATACGCTTTTGACCAGTCATGTTAAGACGATATATCTTATTCCGCTGCTAATTATAGTATCTTTAAGGTAAAATCTACAATTCCACACAGGCGCTTACCCCCTTTGAACATTAGTTCGTTGTGGCCTATTTAAGAAGTAGTTGTGTTAATTGATTCTCGACTTTCTACCCTTTCAATGTTGCGCTTGTAGTCAATCGATGTTAGCTTTGTATGCTTTATGCTGAAAGGCTGAATGATTTCAGCGAACGAACTCAGATGTTAATTCATTAAAGTTACCGTTGTAACATGACATTGTTAGTATATTTTAATAAGTGCTAGTAGGATATGTATTAGAAGTATTCAAAATAGTAATAGTACCGTGACTCCTCGTGTCTTGCAACCTGCTCGACTGCTCTGACTTCTGTTGTTCATGATAGTTGTTGCCCGGGGGGCGGGATCATATATTTTCAGAAAGAATAGGGGTGCTATGGTTAGTTTTTTTGGTCTAGAATTTGAGCAAAAGTTAACTTTTGGTTCAGTCAATTGTACAATAACTTGTTTGGGTTTATCAAATTCTGAATTTTTCTTTTGGCTCGAGTATGAGAAAGTTTGATAACAGAGAACAATTGCAAATTTTTTTGTGCAGGGCGGGAAAAATTTCTGGGGTCAATTTTTATGCTAGAATATTTTTTTGGGTGACGGTTTGTACCCCCAGCCTGAGCACCCAAATCTTAAAGTGATATATTTACGTTCCCCCCTCCCTTTGGGTTGCCAGCTCTATCTAAAAATGCGTGTCAATCCCAATGTACATCGTACTCGAAAGTACAGCTCTTACTGTTACACAATTTAACCTTAGAAATAGGAATGGGCAGCAGTAAAAAGCCTACTCCATGTTGGTGTTGGCAAATTTGTTTCTTGCAAAAAATAACTGAGCGTACACAATTTTTCATATAAAACTGCAAAAAAATAACTTGAAACCCGGATCGCCAAAATATTAAGAAAATGCCATACTTGAAAATACACTTTTATAAAGAAAATTAAGCTGATTATTCCTCAAGAACTTCTGGAGGTACCCCTCTTCAGTCTTGTAGCTCTACAAGAATTTATACAAAGAGAAGACCTTTCTCTGCTGCATAAACATTGGAACGAAAAATTCCAACCAAATATGGCTAAATGGTCTTGACATCTTTACTCTTAATTCTTCAAAGTCTGCCGTGGGTGATGCAGAATACTGTATTACGCCAATCAGCGTCGACATGTGCCAAACGTTTTTTTCTCAGCTTCCTGGCCTGTTGCTCATTGCTTACGGTTTTCAAAATTTATGCTCAAAATTGACACGCAAAAATGCGTGTAAAGATGTCAAGACCATTTAACCATATTTGGTTGGAATTTTTCGCTCCAATGTTTATGAAGCGGAAAAAGGTCTTCTCTTTGTATAAATTCTTGTAGAGCTACAAGACTGAAGAGGGGTACCTCCAGAAGTTGTTGAGGAATAATCAGCTTAATTTTCTTTATAAAAGTGTATTTTCAAGCACGGCATTTTCTTAACATTTTGGCGATCCGGGTTTCGAGTTATTCTTTGCAGTTTTATGTGAAAAATTATGTGTACGCTCAGTTATTTTTTGCAAGAAACAAATTTGCCAACACCAACATGGAGTAGGCTTTGTACTGCTGCCCATTCCTATTTCTAAGGTTAAATTGTGTACCAGTGTAACAGTGTATTGTCGCTGAACTTTTACGATGCTGTATTGGGATTGCCCGCACTTCCTTAGTATTCCCTTTAAGAAAACCCTTTATGGTTTGTACCCTGTCTCTTCTGATTTGTGTACAGAATACTGTGCCTTGCTTACTGTATTCAATCCATACTCTTGCGAATTCATTAGCGATAATATTGCTTCATGTTTTGAAACAGCTTTTGCTGTTTCTTTGTGTATCTTTTTTCACAATGGAAGCGCTGCTTACCATTCTCCCATGGGACCTTTGCCCCTTGGTTGGGAGTTGTGGTAAGTCAATGTGGTTCCCCGGTGGGCATTTGTTTTTCCATATATGTATACATAACGTACCACTGTCGAACAAAAAGATCATAACGGACCTTTAACTTTGTGAAAGACTTGCAAAAAGCAAATGTTAACCGAGGGAAAGCGGTTAAAAACCGCACCAAAACAAGATAGAAATACAAGCGCCAATCCACAAATGGAAACGAAACACGAGAGAATTATCCACCGAGAAAAGTTCTACAAAAGGGAGGTAAGTCAATAGTTTTAGTTCCACTAGCTGAATCCCTTTGCCAGTACTCAGAGCTTTTCTTAGGCCTAAAGGCAGGGGCGGATCCAGACATTCGCAACATTCGCACTGGCGAATGTCAGATTTCCACATGTCTTTTGGTAATTGTCTGTTAATATCTTTCAGCATTGTGAATATTGTACTAGAAATGGCCAGATAATAAAAAAAGGTCCATAGAATACAAGAAATAAAAGTTTTGTTTCCTGCTCTAGTTGCTATGATGTCACCTTGTTGTTTACTTTTTAGGTTTTATTCCCTCGTTTTCGTGATTTAGAGATGATATATTCGAAAGAGGGCTCCCCCTTTTACGCATAAATTCACAGAGCACCAATAAGGTTTGATGCGAATGTCGAATGGAATTATAATATATTAGGCATGCGTGCGCAAACGAAGTAGTACTGAAAAATGTATGCCAAAAATTTGTGCGAATGTCAGTCCAGCTATGTTATTTAGCCATCTGAAAACCAATACGAAATGTATATGGGAAATTTTTTTGCGAATGTGGCGAAGGTAGATGCGAACTATGTTCGGTAGCCAGTTGAGGGAGAGAACCTTGGAAAGTGAGCAGATTGAAACCTCGCTTCCAGATCAACGGCCATGATTGTTGTTGGAAAGCTGTGGAGACAGTTGCTTGCAGATAAGCAGCAATTGTACTTCAGAGTGAGTGAAAGGAGTCAAATATAAGATGATTTTTAATTTGAATCAGCGGATTTCTTATGAAGATGTTCAAAGTTTGTCGAAGATTTTGGTTGATGGATGGAATTTGATAGATGGCAATATGCGAGGACAGTTCAGTTTGACCTAAAATTGTTGAACCAAAATTTTGCCTATGTTTTCATTTTCATGATGGAGGACGTTATTTAGACAGAGATTCAGACTCAAATAATATTTTGATGACTACATGATGCTTTTTAAGGTAAATAGCCATTTTTATGCAGGCTTTCAATCAGAACTTTTAGCGTTCGAGTCAGGTACATGATGTACTGTACATCTTGATAATGATGATGTAGCATTCTGACGAATGATGCTGTTCTATAGATATCTTGAAGAATTTGAATATGCTGGATTTTAGAGTTCTAAATATTTTTTATTGATAGATGTTGTTATTATCACAAACCTGTAAATAGTTTGACTGTGCTGGGGATTTGTTTTTGACTAAGATATTGCATTTTCTACGGCGTATTCTTTTCTTGTTAATTTTATGCTGTCAGTTTTGGAAAAATCTAGACTGTCATATTTGTAAATGAAAAAATTGTAATAGTATTTTGATTTTATTTGTCTGGTCATGCCATAAATATGGTAACCCTTTTCACAAGTTTAACCTCTAAAACTAGTAAAATTATTTGTGGATTCCACACTATAAGAGTATACCATTTGAAACTTTTGGTTCTGAAATACCCTTAAGATTCATTAATTTTTGTTTATGAATTTGCAAGTGACTGACAGTTTTCTTTTCTATGTAATTGTGTGTGTAAATAAATGTAAATATGGGTAGTAAATAAGTGCAATCAATGGAATGTTCCTAATGGGGGAATTACTACATTATTAATAAGAAATTCACAGCATGTGGTCCTGCCAAGTAAATATCTTATATAAATCCATATAGTAAAAGTTACCATGTTTGCCTTATTTTTTTGCCATTACTGACTTTGTTTGATGTACATTTTAAATTTGTATATAATATATTTATGATGTTCTTGTTATGGAAAGACAATGAATTGTTTTAAATTCTGTTACATTTGCTGTTTTACCAACACCTGAAAATACTAAAATTGTATTATGTGTATTGACCTAACTTGTATTTTTGGCCCTGTTTAAGGCACATCACACAGCAGTTTAGATAGAAAGGCGAATGCACAAAATAAATAACAGAAAGCTCTGGGCCCCTAAGGTATTTGGTGTTGAAGTCAAACATTTGGGTGGATATTGCATTGAAAATTTCTACACTTAACACAGTATTTGATTGTTAAATGATATCATTGTATAAATAGAACTAAGATTCCTTTCTTTAAATGGCTGTTTTTTAAGTGAGTGACGTAAAATGTTTTTCATGAGTTTTTCTCCCTGAGAAGGGGTGATACACACACCTAATATACCCTTATTTTAGCTCATCCTCTTTGTTCTTGACAATTTGTGATTCTGTGCCTAGACTTGCCATTAAATCATCATTAAGAGAGCATTTCAAATCTTTGCTGCTGTTTTTCCATCACAAAAGCCATGTAGGAAACAAAACATGCCAACACAACAAAAGCTTGATGAGTGTTTCTCAAAATTTTTCCAGAGATCTCTTTTCTTGTTCACTCAATAAGTAAAATGCCAAATTGTCAATGAAATCCAGACCTGGCTGTGATTCTTAATATTTGTCCTTAAATTTCTCAACCTTTGAGCCTCAATATTTTTATTTAATCTATGCTGTTTAAAAAATGTGTTGTTAGTTTCCTAATCCGAAAACTTAATATGAGGAAAAATACATCTTTAAGTGGAAAACTTCGATTCTGAGACTATAGTAAATTTGACTGATTTTTTTGGGCGTGGTCATATAGGCGTGGTCGAAACTTTGCGAATGTCAGATTTTTTTCTGCATCCGCCCCTGCCTAAAGGTTCTTGTAAAAGTTGCAGTAACTCCTTGCCATCGTCTTGCAAAAAGACAGTGCAAAATGTCATTTTTTAATGTTGTTTCACCTGAGCTGTTGAATAATTTCAATTACTCAATGAGTTGGTAATATTTTCTAAAAAAGAGAGCTTCGAAATTACCCTAGATTTGATACTATTCGTATGTATCAGAACTGCATGACAATAACAATGATACTGAGGATTGCTGCATGACAATGATAACGAACTCAAAATGGTAGGAAAAGAGCAGAGATGTAATGTGTATGCATTGTTGCATTCTACACTGAACCATATAGTACTTGACTTTTAGAGTCAGTCCCGAGTCCCTCTGTCGAGTTTAGATATTGCTGGCTCGTTTTTTACTAATCTACTATCTTTTACTAACAACATCGTTTTCAATTTTTCTTTGTTGTTTTTCTCATCTACATTTGCTGGCGGACTTCCAACGAATTTTTACGGACGCTATATTAGAACGTCAAATGTGGCA